CAAGAAGATTGGAGAAACCTTTTTTCGCACCCAAAAAAAAAAAAACGACAGGGGTTACACTGTCGTTTTTTTTTTTTTTTTTTTTTTTTGGGGGTCGAAATTTTGAGTTTCTCTGATCATCTTGAAACTAAAAAATTTCAACCTGAAAAAAACTCAGTATTAGTAATAACAGATTTAGAGAGCTCTCTAATTGGAATTGTTACTAGTAAGAATTGAATTTGAGAGCTCTTTAATTGCATTCTTACCAGTAACAATTCAATTCGAGAGCTCTCTAATTGAATTAAAGAGCTCTGCAATTGAGTTGTTACTAGTAAGAATTGAATTAGAGAGCTCAATAATATTAATTCTTAATAGTAACAATTGCATTAGAGAGCTCTCTAAATTAATTGCTACTAGTAAGTATGCAACTACAGAGCTGTTTCATTCAATTCAAGAGCTCTCTAATTGTAATTCTTACTAGTAAAAATCGAATTAGAGAGCTCTCTAATCGTAATTGTTATTAGTAAGAATTCAATGAGAGAGCTCTATAATTGTAATTGCTACTAGTAGGAATTAAATTGTAAAGCTCTCAAATTGAATTCTTACGGGTAAAAATGCAGTTATGATCAGTAAGGTTGGATACAATTTAAGCTAAAACGGCTTGCCATAGCTGCCAATAGAGTATCTAGTCTCTATATGATATCTATGGACTCATGTCTTCACCACACCGGAAAACCCAGCCTCCAACCTTCAATGCTCTTACTGGGGGAAGGTAGTTGTTGGCCAAGATCTCGTGATACATGGCCCTATCCGTCCTCCCCTCAATATGGCGCAGTCACCATGTCCCCTTTGCTGAAAAGCATCCCCAAAGAATGATGTTTCCACCTCCATATTTCACGGTTGGGATAGTGTTCTTGGGGTTGTTGTACTCAAACCTCCAAACACGGCGAGAGGAGTTTAGACCAAAAAGCTTTAGTTTTGTCTCATCAGATCACAAAAATAAAGCTTTTTGGTTTAGACAATAGTCTGATGTAGGCCTAATAGTTTTCCTTTAACAATTATTAATAATTTTTAGTGAAAGTTTAGTGCATCAGTGATAAAATCATGGATAACTCAGTGATTCAATGTTATAGTTTAGTAGTTCATGTTTATTTCTGAAAAAACACTCAAACTCAAATATTTTAGAGACACAGAGACTTTTATGGATTAATCATGATGCAATATTATTTATAAAATACAGTGAACATACAAAGATTCATTCATACAGTTTTTTTTTTCATTACAGTTTTTATGTGGGTTTTAATTCAAGGCATTTTTCGCATTTCAATTCTAAAGATAAGGAAAAACAGAAAGAAAAAAAAAGTAAAAGGCAAAATATTTGTCTTACTAAAACGAATAGTTTTTTTTTGTAAGTAAACTACAACTGTCATCAGAACTGATCAACACTTCATAAAAAGTAAAATATATTTGTTTGTATTATTGTCTTTAAGAATAGTCTTTACTTCATCAATCAATTTTCATAGCACAACATTGTGAACACTCATGCTGATAAACATCACATCCAGTACTTCACATGTTTAACACCACAGTAACATTTTTTAATGCGGTCTGTATCATATATGGGTCATGAAACAAAATAAATGCTCCCAGTAAAGTGTTTTAACAGAAGATAAATCAAAGAGTTTCTAAGCTTATTAATGCAGGTTTTTGTTCTAGAGAAGCTGCTGGACATCCACTTTTAATGCTATTCAACCATTGCTTTGTGATCAGGGTGGATAACCAAGGGTTAGTGTTAGTGGTTAAATTAGAAATATGAACGACTGGGTACAAAACATTTCCAGTTACAGCAACAATACCAGTAAGAACACTTGCGGTATCAGAAATGCAGACTGTTAAGGGCACTTGTGGTTATACAATGCATTTTCCTACTTTGAATTGTTTTGTTTTCCAAAACTATTATCTAAAAGTTATGTAAGGATTATGTTCTGTTCGGGGATGTTTCCTTTGCTCTAGTTTGTTTACTGTGTTTGTTGCCTTAGTTACTGATGAGTCTCGAGTTTTTCTGATCTACCTGTGTCCTTATATGGAGTGTTTATTTACACCAAGTGTAATTAGCCCACCTTATTGGCTGAGAGTATTTACACTAACTCCGCCCACCACTGTATGGTTGGGCCAGACAAAAGCCCAACAAATTTAGCTTAAATCCTGCCTTTCATTTTCCGTATTTGCATCCCTATTCTGACATCCATAAATCAAGATGCATTTACTTGAGAAGTAAAATTAATTAAGACGTATCAAAATTTAGTGTGCTTATGGTTAAAACAAGGGGGAATACCTGTCAAATCTGTTGAATCAAGTTTATTTTCCCTGACCCTTACAGGGAGACTCACTTAATTAAAGTGATTTTTTTAGAAAACAAGACCTTTACCTCAAGTAATTTTGTTTGTTAAGTAAATAAATCTTGATTTAATGGAAAACAAGACAAACATAATATATATTTATATTTTTTTAATAATTTTATTCTTTTTTTTTTTCTTTTTTCTTTTGTAGTGTGATGCCTATCTTGGCGAGCTTTTTGTGGAAATGCAGTTACTTCTATCACCGCAGATTTAAACAGACATCATTCACATGCCAAAGCAGCTTAGTGTTTTAATGTCTTATAGTATACAAATGGATAGAAACAGATTTAAATCTCTGAAAAACATCAAGCTGCCACTGAGTTTTTGACAGTAACACTTTACTTATTTTATTGCTTATTTTATAAACAGACATCATTCACATGCCAAAGCAGCTTAGTGAAATAATGTCTTATAATATATACAAATGGATAGAAACAGATTTAAACCTCTGAAAAACATCAAGCTGCCGCTGAATTTTTGATAGTAATACTTTACTTATTTTATTGCTCATATGGTCTAGTGCATAAGGCTGAGGCCCAGATTTACAAAACAGGGCAATTTAGCTTGAGAGTGCAAATCCAAAAATACACGATGGGTGTGAAAAGTTCTGTGCGTGATACTGTCAACGGCATGACGCGCAAATTAAACAACACAGACGCAGTCAGATCATTTCCAAAATGACCAATTGTTAAATTGACCTATTATTAATGACCAATTCATTTTCATTAATGCATATGCAATAATTTCAGATGTGAAAATAATCCTGTCCACACTTTTACTAGTTTACAAAAATAATTTTTCTTTTTTTTAACACCAAAAGAGGGTTTGCACTGACACAAGCTGTTCGTAAATCTAACCCTAAATGGGTTAGCTTATTTAAATCATTAGAATTTTGACTGGTTTTCGGTACCGACTAGTGAAATCTAGGAATCGAGACAATTACTCTGTGAACGACAAGAGTTTCAGCTGATCCTCGTCTCTACATCACTTCCTGATTCTCTTCAATGTCCCTTTCGATGTAAGAATCAAATTGAGGCCGAGTCTGATTTAAAGCTGCACTATATAACTTTTTTAACCTTTATAATATTTTTCCAAAACCCTTGAGATGGCACATCGACTTACAATAGGTTGAATGACAGTGTCTGTATCGCTTTTACTGGCACTCTGTAACTTCGAGGAGCGGGTAGGAGTGCGAGCACAAAGAGAACTACAAAATTCGACTGCTTTACGGCATTCGTCACTTCCCCCACTTCCTCAAATTGCGACACGAGAGCCCAACGAGCGTTTTTCTTTTTTTTTTCTATTTTTACCTCTATGTAGTCATGGCTGAAGCGGCAAGTAAAACCAAATGTGAAGTGCGTCAGAAACAGAGCGCGCGCGTGATCAGTTTACTGTTGGTAATGTCAGGGCTCTAGAGTGCGACCAATACCACTTACAGCGCGAAATAAACATGAACGAGCATCTGAAAGTGTGTTAAAAGATAAAGTATCGAAATCCATATCTTTCACATGGAATAGCTCAATCAGTGTTTCAACCGTGGAAAGACGTCAAAAGGTGTGTAAATAATGTAATGTAACGTCACATTTACCTCAGAAAAAATATATCCAGTGACCATAAACTCGTTAGCTAGGTAGAAAAATTAACTCTGGTGCATTTTGCCAAATATATGCACAATATTACAAATTCAATATAATTTTTAATGTTTTTCAATATGTAATGCTTTGTTTGAAAAAAGGTATTTATGCAGCCACCATTTAAATGTTTAAATTTCCTATAACATTATTATTATAAAAATAAGTAAAAAGTGTTAGTGTACAAATGAGGTCATTTTTACCTTCAATATTATAGAAGGGTAATGAAACAGTGGGCTACAACTGACTCCCAGTTTACAGTATTAGTTGAGATTTGTTTTCCTTGAGAATTGTGAAATTTTGTCAAATACCCTGCCCTAACTTGAACAATGTAAAAAAAGCACTTTAATTTTTTTTTATTTAAACATAATTAGACGGACAAAATTAGACGGACAAAATTATCGGTCAGGATAACTATCCCATGTCTGCAGGCTGATAGTCATGTTTGTTATTTATTTTTCTGGTGAACGCGTCTTGCCTCAGGCTATAATGAAAATAAATTTTTCGATTTTGTGACGACATGGCTATTAATATCTACCAAGAAAAATTGAATTAAATTAGCATATCCATTATGTAAAACAGTAGCCAATAGGCTAACGATACTATAAAGACGCTGGCTTGTAAAAGTGAGGAACACGATCTTTTGACGTTTGAAAAAAATGACATCATGTTCATGTGACAAGCTGAAATATATGCCAATGTACCTGGGATGAAGACATTTCACACGCAACGCTGGAGTCTGCCCAAGATGTGCGAACTCCTTCCTTCTGCTTGTCAACAAATGCACGCGTGTATTCCCTGGTGTAACCATGACAGATCTTAGACAGGAGTAGAAGATAATACTGTTTCCCAACTGTAGGGGGACTCCGAGAGCACGATTTCAAAAGTAACATAATGGGGCTTTAAAGGAATACTCCACTTTGTTTTGGAAATAGGCTCATTTTACAACTCCCCCAGAGTCGAGTTTTACCGTTTTCGAATCCATTCAGCCGATTTTCTGATATTTAGAAGAATAGACAGTTTCTGGTCTCATTGACTTCCATAGTAGGAAAAAAATATACTATGGAATTCAATGAGACCGGAAACTGTCCGGTTACTGATATTCTTAAAAAAATATTCTTTTTAACTCTGGGGGAGTTGTAAAATGAGCCTATTTCCCCAAAAAAAAGTGGAGTATCCCTTTAAGGACTCGTCCTTCTCCTCAGACTGAAGTGTCATTCAGATCACATGGTGAGTTATCACATGTCATCATCACTCTCCTGTAAGAAACACAGATTCACCGAAGGTTAGTGTAATGAGGAGGATTGATGTTTCAGTGACAAACACAAAAACACTACAGACTTGGAATTGTGTTTTCGTCTGTTGTTCACACACAGGATTTCAGCTCCTAAATATTTAACACTGTCTTAAACAGCATCACATGTTTTGTACCACAGTCATATAAAACTTGAAGTATACAGATTTCTGTTGAATTGGTTATTAGTGAATCTGGGAGTTATTAGTGTTGTTGATTGTGTTGACTGCCTCACCGGTGAATATCTGATTGTGTAGTGTTGAATATAAAGGATAATTACTAACTAAATGTTATATATTTTGCTAAATCAGCTGATTTGGAATACTTACGGTCTGTGAGGGTGGTGTGTATCTACGCCTACAGTGGTGACGATAGTAAAACACACCAGCAGTTACACACGCAGAAACCAGCAAAACAACAGCAACAACTATTCCTGCTACAGCTCCTGAAGACAGACCTGAACCTGGGACATATATACAGAGAAACGGTCATTATTACGAGAATGAATGATTATCTAGTATTTACCAATATCTATTTACACCTTTCAACTTTATTCCTAAGTTATTTCACTGATAAATGGCACCATCTGTTGTCTTTATCACCAGCAGTTAAAACATCATCAGCACTGAGAGATCAGCAAGAAACACTGTTCACAGGTAAACTGCATTTTTCATGTTAATAACATTAAAGTGCCATTCTTAAAGCTCACTTTTTTTTTTGAAACAGTCCACTGCCCATTTATTGGGTTGATTTAAAATATTGAACTAAAGGAAAATGCTTTGAATGGCTGAATTATACACTCACCAATGACAGTAAGATTGAATCTCTTCACTCTGCTGATGCTGAAGCTGCTGTTGTTGATGATCATCTGTAGTGTATATTCTCCAGAGTGTGTGTTTGTGGTGTGTGTGATGGTCAGAGATCCAGTCTGATGATCCAGCTTCAGTCTGTATCTGAATCTCTCTTTACACTGATCATCTGTACAGATCTGACTCTGATCTCCAGTGATTTCAGCGATGAGAATATCATTAAAATACCACATCATCACATCACTTGGTTTTCTTATTACACCAGGATCAAAAGTAAAAGACTCTCCCTCCTTCACAGACTTTTTCTTCACTTCATCTCGTTCAGCAGCAGAAACACCTGAAATACAAATCAACAGATGCTGGAGAAAAAACACTTCACAACATGAAAGAACCGCTAACATGACCTTTCTTGACTTTTGATCTGAAAGGGTAAATGTATTATTTATGTGTTCAGAATATTTGACCTTATTTTACATCAAATCCTCACTTAAACAGATAACAGTAGCTGATCAGGGATTACATAATTGAGCTCAACTACAGCTTCTTATGAAAAAAGCCGTTTTTAAATCAAAAGGAAGTGTTTAATGATGTAAAGTGAGATAGTTGCACAGTAAAGAGATTATCTATACTGTACTGTAAGTGAATTAAAATGCAGGCAAAAAAAAAAACCATTTTATAAACACTTTAACAAGGTGCTTTAAAGTCATAAACTGATGTGTTTAAAGCACATCAAATAAACAGTAACAGTAACTCACCATAAACAGTAACATTGAAAATATTTCCACCGATTCTGCTGCTGATGATCTTCAGTTCATAAACTCCAGAGTGTGTTGTGTTGATATTTGTGATGGTCAGAGATCCAGTCGGATAATCCAGCTTCAGTCTGTCTCTGAATGACTCAGTATCTTTATTACACTGAACATCTGTACAGTTATAACTGAGATCTCCACTGATTTGAGCGACGAGTGTGGCACTGAAATACCATTTTATCTCTTCTTGTTGAGTTGTTTCAACACCGGTGTTTAGAGTAACAGAATCTCCCTCCATCACTGACACTTTATCAACACCTGACAAACCTGGAGAAGAAATAAACCAAACAAAAAATATATAATAGTGCTGTGAAAATGGTTTTTTTTTTTTTTTTTTTGTACATATCATTAAGGTCTGGATATGACATCGGAATGGATATAGAAACAAACAGCAGAAGAACAACATTGCTTTACAAATTTGCTGATCAGGATGACTTGAGGGCAAGTAATTGACGACATTAAATACATTTTTCGAGTTTCAACTGTATTACAAAATGAACACGAAGTGAATATTATATCATAACCCTACATATAAAAAAACTATAATGATACATTAGTTAACTACATTTTTTAAAAAATGAATATCAATAAAATAATCACATCATGTAGTAATTAAGGTATATTGTACATATATAAATCCTATAAAACCCATGATATATCCATCAAATCGCATCAAAGATGACGATAAAACACTGTAGGTGTCGCGAATCTAATACGAGCTATTGTTACCAATATATAGGTCGTCTTCATTCTTACTAAAACTTGTGGTCTGATTCTGAAACGTTTGTGTTTGTGGGCGCTGTGTGTATTTCTGGAACTTGATATCGTTTCAATCGACCGTTCTAAATCCATACTCTGTATTGATCTAAATGGAAGTGGCTTACAGTTTTTTGTATGTTCCCTGTCTTGTTCTGTACATAATGCAAATAAAAATAAATAAATAAATAAAAAATATCGTTTCAATCGATAAATGCGACCGCCCTAGACTCTCGCGCTACACCACTTCCGGTGCAGATTCAGTCACAGATAATGAGATATCGGATGGTGGTGCAGCCAGGGTGCAGAAAGACTCTTACCATAGTCGGGTAAAAACAAGACCGCCGACAACAAATTAACGAAAAGCTTCATTTTCACAGAACATGAATGCAGATTCTGAATAAAGCTGCTAAGTCCGGCCCCTTCCGCTAACCCCGCTGGACCTCTAGGTTGAAAAACCGTCAATGCAAGTGAATGAGAGAAAATAATTATTTTCTAATCCCGTTTAAATTGTGCAATGAATGCAACATATATTGTTTGTGAATTTTTTTAAATATAATTGTATATATAATGACGTGTAGTCTTTCTCGTTATGTCTATTCCACAACTGCTAGCCAAAGAATCATACAATATACTGTCAAACTCGTTACATGAGAAATTATATAAAAAATTCACAGACAACATATGTCACATTCATGGCACAATTCAAACGGGATCAGAAAATAATTATTTTCTCTCATTCACTTGCATTGACGCTTTTTCAACCTATAGGTCCACTGGGCGTGACTTACCAGCTCTTGTTCTTCTGCTTTGGATATTTTTGTGTGGCAGAGACGCTCCAATGACGCAATGCTGCCCTCCTCAGTTCATTTGAAGAAGAATTAGCTTTGTGAATTTAACAGAATATATCCTTATATATAGTCCAATCCGGTGCAAAAAGTTGATAACATTTTTTGTTGTCTCATAGTCCTTAGTTTTGTCTAATAAAATCATTACTTTGATTTGAATAACTTGAAATTCCAGCTTCCGACAGAGGACATGAGATTGTTTTCTGTACGATGGCATAAACAGTCCATTAGTGCATGGCACGCAGTTTCTACTTCTCCACATCTACACATCTCCCGTCTAGATGTTTTCCAACCATAGCCATCCCATAATTCAATGCAGTGCCCTAATCTAAGTCTAGTTATAACCACACTATCCCTCCTTCCTAAACCTATTTTTATCGAATGTTTCACTGTAGACTGAATAGGAAAATAACGTCTGCCTTTATTTCCCTTTTCCCATTCTGTTTGCCATAATCTCATTAGTTCTTGCTGAGTAATACTGTATATTTACATTTATCAACCCTTCCATACATTACTACTTACTTCCAATTCAACTTCATTTCTATGTACAGCATTTTTTTTGCCATGTCATCAGCCAGCTCTTCATTCCCCTGCATTCGTTGACGCAGTGCGTTGTCTGCATTCACTAGGTTGAAGCGTCTCCCAAAATGCAATGCGATAATATTTAAAGGGATAGTGCATCCAAAAAATAAAAATGTCATAATTTATTCATCCTCACGCTGCTCCAGACCTCAAACAGCTGTGGTGCCTACTTTTACCCGTAGAGACAAGCCTTTACGTTACAAGAATCTGTGTTTGTGAGTTGGGGGATTACTAAGATTGTTTGAAATATGCTGCTAGTGTTGCAGAAACTACATAGTCGTCATGACAGACTGTCCAGAAAATGATGCATCAAGAATTGGTACTCTATAAACCTGCAACAACTTACCGTCGCCAGCATCCGGGATGCCGACTGCAGCCGGAAAAAGGAAGACAAGATAGATAGGCCCTAAAACAGAGAGAGGTACTTCAGTGAACAGTGACAAAACTGATTCGGAAGAATAAACCCCTTTTGAAACTGAGTTTTTACGAAACTGAGTTTCATAAAAAGCAGGGCAGGAAACACTCTTACCTACAAACTGTTTCTCTAAATAAAACCACATCTCTGAAGAAATCCGCAGCAGGTTTCAGTTTGAGTCAGATGAACAGCTGGAGTCACATCTATGAGAGATCAAAGACAATATTAAGCTTTGTGTTGTTGGTTTTTTTTAACCTTACAATACACTATAGTTGATAATTGATTTATTGAAGTGGAATATAAAACCATTTTAATAAGCTCTGAACACAATACTCCACTTTACATATTTAACACAGTAAGACCTACTTTTGAATTATGCTCAGTGTTAAATAATAGAATGAAGAATGTTTTGTAAGTCTTAATAAGAGCCAGAAGAGCATTTATATGTCAACATATATATTTCATAGAGTCATTTCAACCCCTAGAAGTGTCAAAATCTGCCGTAGGAGGATTCTTTAATTATTAAAAGTTATTATTTTAGAAACACTTCGGTAGTAACCATGCACGCACTGTAAAAAAATATTTTGAAGATTTGTTATCACAACATATTTTCTTTTGTCAAATCAACTTATTTAGTTGAGATAACTTATTATTTTGAGTTTCTGATGGTTAAATTAATCTACTTCATTATATTAACTCACTTTTTCCAGTTCAATCAACTTAAAATTTTAAGGCAACCCAGGTTACTTACTTTTTTAAGTTAAACCAACAATATTTTTTTACAGTGTAGTAATCACAACATTTTTTCTTTTGTCAAATCAACTTAAATAATTTATTTAGTTCAGATAACATATCATTTTGAGTTTCTGATGGTTAAAATAATCTCCTTCATTGTATTAACTCACTTTTTTCAGTTAAAAAAGTAAGTAACCTGGTTGCCTTAAATTTTTAAGTTAAACCATCAATATTTTTTACAGTGCATCAATACAAGTAATATAAATTAAATTGTCAAAAAAAAAATGCAGGAATCCTTTTTTATCTACTGATCTAAATGTCACATGTACACAATATCAAGGCACTGAAAGGAAGAAGAGTTCAACTTTTCCTGTTGTAATACACTGTAAAAACAATATCATGATTTGTTATCATAACTTTTTTTCTTCTGTCAAATCAACTTAGATAGAGATTTATGTGGTTCAGATAACATAATATTTTGAGTTTCTAATTATTAAATCAATCTCCTTCATTGTATTAACTCAATTTTTCAATTTCGCTTAACTTAAAGTTAAGGCAACCAGGTTCCTTAATTTTTTAGTTAAACCAACAATATTTTTTTTACAGTGGATAAAATCATCAGAATCTGTGTAAATCTGTGTGTTCATAAGGTGTGTTTGGTGATTCAGTGTCAGTGATGGAGGGAGATTCTGTTACTCTAAACACTGATCCCCTAAAGGGATGTGATGGTTTATTTTAAGGAAGTGTCTGTCCGAGCTCACAGCAGGTTTTGCGAAGGAACGCAACGTTTCTCGAGGGAACGTAAATATTTTGCGAAGGAACGTAAAAGATTTGAATAAAAAACTAAAAATTCTCCCATCCTAAATTTTATTCCACCACCACATCCCTTTACGGGCTCCGTAGAAAGGGCCTTTTTTATAATATAATAAAATTAAAATAATAAAATAACATATATTGCTTAAATACGCTCTTGAGCACATAAATAATAATATTTCCTATAGATATAACATCTATTTTCACAATTCAGCACCGCAAGGTTTTTATTCCCATTGTACACACAAAACCATATGGTCAAGGACTTGTAGGCTATTTGGTAGCCCTATTATTGTCTTATTTGTCACCGTCGTTTTGCTTTAAAATAAAATAAAATAAAACACACTTTCGGATTTATCCGATGTCTTACTGAAATACAGTGAATTATCATCATTTGTCTTAAAATACCGGAGTCTGTGTTTATTCACTGACCCTAATGGAAAAATTAAGAAGCATAAATGAATGATGTAAAATTATAGAGCCCTGCATGACATGCTGAAAATATTTTCTGTATCAGTCCATAAAATATCTCCTTTGCAATGCCAGTAATGCAGTCATGCTCACTGCCCACTAAAAGTGACCTGCTGGGTAAATTATTAAATATAATATATAGGCTACATGTCAAACAGTCTATCGTTTATATCAGCAATATATTTCGTGATAGCGCCCAGCCCTGCTCAATATTAAAGCTTAAAATATTACTTTTTTGTAAAGCTGCTTTGAAACAATGTGAAATGACCATGGTGCACTTTACGAATACAGTTTGACCGTAACTTCATCTACTCGTTACCGAAATCACCATGGTTACAGCGTAGTAGATCATTCATAAACTCGCACATAAAGGATCTGCGCATGCATGTCTCAAGCGCATACGCCAATAAGATTGCTGCATTTTAAACCAATAAAATCGGGTGTGGGCGGAGCGACACATGTCTCTTTTGACAGCTTAGCAATAAGTTGTTATTGAAAATGTAAGCCTGTACTAACATCCGGAAATCGAGCGAACGACAGAGAAGTTCATTTTCATTCGGTGAACTTATCACAAATGGTTAGCCAAGACATTTCCAAATAAGACTCAACTGACCAGCTTATTATTGACTTTTTAAAATATTATATTCAATGAGTTCATCCAAAAAATAAAAATCAAGTTACTCACCATAATGTTTCACGTGATTTCCCATACCTAAAAAGTGGTAACTTTCAATTCCTATAACTTTCTACCTAACGCCACCGTTTGTGTTTTCGGAGAACAGATTATTCCGTATCATCTCGGATTACACGGTAAATAAAGACTTCCGTCGGTAGGGGAGGCTTGAAGTGAAAGTGGTGCCTCTTCCTCAATCGTTAACACTAAGAACATTTTCTCAACTTGATAGAACATGTGCACATGAATATAGGCTGGGTGAATTTACTTTTGAGTCGGTGTTTATGGTTTATTGTCTGTGATAAATTGTGACTCCAGATGTGAACGAACAACAGCAGATTCGTCAATTACGAAAAACATTCTTCCTACATCACCGCCTGCTGCGTCAAACTGCCCTGCAATGATAACATAGGGGCTATATGCACGCATAAGTTCCGCATTTGACGTAAGGATGCTCGTCCATTTCCGGTTGTGTAGATTAAAGCGGAGGAAAACCGGAGAAAACGGGATTATGGCAGAGTCTTCAATATTTACTGTCCTCCCGTCTTTGAAACGAAACGTACATACGTTTAGATGTAATTTTATATAGTTATGTTTATTTAATATAATTTAAAAAAGAAGCATAAACACAACGAGGGGTGTCTGTTTTATCTGTTTTTGTGACTAACGTTTCATTAGTATAACCATGGAGTATAAAATTCAATATAAATTCTCGGTATTGCATTGGACTCTATGATCGGCTGAAGTTATCGAGCATCCTTAATCCTTCACCGGAAATAACGCCATGCATAGAGCCCATTGTAGAAAGATTCGTGAACACTGTCATGACGTAGTAGATCGAATACTTACTTAATAAAAAAAACTTTATTTAAAGGGGCCGCAAAGCAAACAGACTGAGCACAAGTAGGGTGTAAGTTAACCTCATGAAATCTTTTAAATGTGAAAGTAAAAAAATTGATTGGTAGAAAGAACTTCATAATTATAGATACACTTTGTTAATGAAATAAACCAATTAAAACACAAAAAAATAGAACACAAAAGTGTGGCTTTTGTGTTCATGGTTCAGTGATATCAACATGCAGTTTATAGGAGAAGTTTATTAGCCTTGGTATTTAACATTAACAACGTGTGGAGCCTATAGTATCACCTTAATGCAATTTGTCGAATCGGTGTTGTTTTGATCAAATTAATCGCATTCCCGCTGAAAACAAGAGTTCTAGCGGGAAAATGTTTCCTATAAATAGTGTTGAGCACCAAATTCACATGATCAACATCAACCTCTTCTCCATTTTACTTGGAAACTAATGTGGTCGGACGGAACCATAGTTTACAGGACTGTGTTAATCCTCTCAAGAGGAGGTTGCCGCTGAACCATGTCATAGTTCACTAAACCAAACTCTCCTCGACGCCCTAATCGTCCAAGAGTCCCGACTGCTTTAATAGAAAATGGAAAATTGAATGCATAGGCTTATTGCTTTGCAGTATATTATCATATCATTGTGTATCACCAAATGCATGGAATCCATCATGTCCACTTTAAAAACAAACATTCTAAACGTTTTAAAAGATTATTAATATGATAGTTTTGCTATTTTTTTTCTTCCTCATGCATAGTCAAACAATTTCTCTTCTCGTTTTCCCCCTGGCAGATTACAGAGTCAGAAAAGCTATCAGGACAGGAAGAAACTCTTCACCTTTAGACTAAACACAAACACTAAATGCCCAGTGTCACACACTCGTCTGTCCACCAGCAGATCGAACTTCATTTAGAAACCTGCAGTCTCTTTCAGTTTGAGTCATGATGATGAACTTCAGTCAAGATGTGGCAGACGGTTTTATCTTTTTACTGTGGTTTTTCAATTCACTAAAAGTTAGAATAGCCTAAATATACTTACTTAGTTCATCCACAATTCACACAATATTTTACTTCTTTCTAAAACGGTCAGGTAACATGCGTTCATTGGGGCGGTGTCCTTTTAAAGTAACTAAAATGAGCTGCTTAGACACTAAATGAAAAACCACGACACATTCTTTGTGTGTTTGCACACACTTGGCGAATGAAGCTTATTCTGATTATATGTACATATAAGGTATTAATATGAACCCTTACGGGGTAAGTAAGATAGAAAAATACAGATTTTTACAGATAAAAATATAAAATACTAATGCATTAGGAGCAATTAAAGTCTTAAGAAGGGTCAGATGAACTCTGACATTATGCAAACGCAGTGAGTGAGGAGGGTTAAACTGTGGGAGGATTCACACATCAGTTCTGCTGTCACATCTGATGCTGAACAACTGAAGAAAATGTCTCGCATGTTTGTTTTCTGTGTGTGTGGCTGGTGTCTGACTGGTAAGTTATTAAAATCATTTTTTTTGTTTATTTTTTTTGTCCGATTTTTTTGCAGAAACAAAAGTGGCTAAAAAGCTACTGTTCTAATTTAGTTATTTTCATTAAAGTTAAATTAATATACAACACAACCTAATAGTGCAGACATCTAATGATCTAAATTTCATTTATTTAAAAAAATTAAGTTAATTTATTAAGTTAATTTATTAAAAAATTAAGTTAATTTTTTTAAATACCTAGCACAATTAAAATAATGAATATATTTCAATACGTTTTGTAACTTTAAAAACTGCATCACTTTAAAATAAATGAAAGATTCAGGGATGCACCGTAAAGACTACGCTTCAATCTAGATTAAATCAAGATTTATTTATAATAATGCTGTTTCACCAAAGTTATATTTTACATTTAAGATATACTTTAAATTAAACTCCTTAAGAAGCTATATTGTGGTTGCTGTTTTTGGAAATCTGTTTGCTTGGGGTTTATACATTTATGTTTTTAATGTTTTAAATAGCCAGGAATATTTAGTATGAAAATCAAATGTTTCTCTGTTTGTATGTTTTGTTTAAAATTGACAATTGTGTTTTCTCTCTCTGCTCGATTCTGACAGTTTCTCTGTAACGGTAGCGGCTTATAAAGACATTTGACGTTTTACATGTTGTGTTTCTCCTGATGCTCTGGATGATCTTAACATTAAATCGAAAAATTTGCTGATTTCAGGCTAACCATCAGGAGCGTTAATCTGTGTAAATCTGTGTGTTCATCAGGTGTGTTTGGTGATTCAGTGTCAGTGATGGAGGGAGATTCTGTTACTCTAAACACTGATCTCACTGAAATACAGGAACTAGAAGACATACTGTGGACATTTGGAGCTGAAAACTCTGTGATAGCTAAAATTAAAAAGAAGAAGCAAATCTTCTCCACATATGATAATGTTACTGATGGGAGATTCAGAGACAGACTGAAGCTGGACGATCAAACTGGATCTCTGACCATCACACACACCACAACTGAACACACTGGAGTTTATAGACTAGAGATAACTGGACTGAAACTGATATCAAAAACATTCAATGTTTCAGTCTATGGTGAGTAGAGATCATCTGTCCAAACGTTCATATATTCTATTTACATATTCAAATGTTTTATCATTTTATAGTTTGAGATAATAGACACATTCACTGACCATGAACACATAAACACTCAATCAACACAAAGTGTATTACTATTCACTAATTCATATTTCTGCTCATTCTCTCATGTTTCTCAGCTCGTCTGCCTGTTCCTGTCATCATCAGAGACTGTTCATCATCATCATCATCATGTTCAGTGGTGTGTTCATCATCAGTATTGAGTGTGTGTGATGCGACTCTGTCCTGGTACGCAGGAATGAGTGTATTGTCCAGCATCAGTGTGTGTGATCTCAGCATCAGTCTCTCTCTACCTCTGGAGGTGGAATATCAGGATAAAAACACCTACAGCTGTGTGCTGAACAATCCCATCAGCAACCAGACCACACATCTGGACATCAACACACTCTGCACACACACATGTGCAGGTACACCACCACTCATCAGATATGTGTGTGTGTGTGTGTGTGTGTGTGTTTTTACTGACCTGATCTCTGTCTTCTGGTGTAGATCAGACTAATGCGCTCACTTCTTTCTTCATCATTACACAGACACACACACTCCTCCTCCAGTGTCAGTGTCTCTGATAGTGTTGATATCGGCTGGATCTCTGATGATTGTTGCAGGATTTTGGATCTTCTGGATCTGCAGGAAATCTAGAAAAATTGACAATGAAGGCAAGTATTAACTCTCCTTTTAAAGAAGTAATATAACAAATAATAATTTGAATATGCTCTAAATATTTTAGCCAACTAATTGTCCTATTTTATCATTTAATTAAAATTATACTCATAATTTTGTAGTTAACGTTCTTTGAAACTAAACTAATATATGTAGTTATTGTGTTTGTCAATTTGTGTTGATCACACTCACATCAGAATTCATGTCTATTTCTGTATAATGACAGAATTTCGCTCTTTACTCGTCTCACTTGAAAAAAAAAACGTATTTCTTAATCAGCATCAAAACTGGAAATAAAAAAACACAGAAATGTTTATTTTTAATAAATAAAAATAACAAACAGTCTTCATTTTATGAACACACTGTAATCTTACACGTGCAAAGATGCAGCTGGTGCTCATGAATGATAACTTTTGTTGTGCTTGTTGAGCCTAAAAACTGAATAAACACGAATAATGTAAAATACTACTTTTGTCAAACATCCCATATGTGTGCATTTATGTGTCTCTCTAAATGTAATGATAAACACTGTTTTGGGAACTTTTTGTGTGGAAAAAGTTGTAGGTCTAATGCAAATTTGTTAATGGCATTTTTAAAAACTGCTGTGTAAACTTAGAAAGCCCTAATAATGACATATAGATATATTGTGAAGAACCAGATCTTGTTTGAATCTTGCTATTTTAATGTATCCATTATTGTTCAAACAGCTGAGACGCGTGAAGAAGAGATCACTTACGCTGAGACGACATTCAACAAAAGAAGCACACAGAAATCGGTAACACAATTTATTGTTAATTTGTTGAGTATTGTAATTTCAGCAGAGTCCGATGTAGATATGTGTGCTTGTGGTTTTGTCTGCATAATCCCATTTACACTGCATTAGACAGAAAAAAAGTCATGTTCTTGTAAATCATAATTATGACATACTAAATTCAAATTATGGGCTTAAAAAGTCAAAATTAGCACTTAAATTTCTAAAATATCACAAAGTTGAGATTATGAGATTGCAAAGTCGAAGTTCTGACTTATAATGTTAAATTATGAAATACTCATTTTGACTTAGAATGTCAAAGGACTTTCACAGTATAATGATCCATCATATAAACCTCACACAGTTGCGATGTCGCAAATATCTTGTCTTCTGTCACGTACGGTCGTTGATAAACAAAGATGCTATGATGATATGATTATCCATTAAATGTCTTGATAAAAAGGCGTGATAAAAATTAAAAGGGTTCGTGTCCTCCACCTCCGCCTCATCCCTCATTGGAACTGTTTGCGCGAGGAAGGGCCGTAGTGTCACAGTTATGTTCAGTTTGAGTATGTTTGCTGTCTTTGTTTCAATGGTTACTCATTTGATAACTCATTCTGTTCCCTCATTAGTTCCCTTTGTTACTTTCCTGTCTCCCTCTTGCATTTGAGTTTGTCCAGTCTCATATATGGGACGTGAGAAATACGTTTAAACGTGGTGGCGATTTACCTTCGAATCGAGACGAATAATGGCTATTTTTGCTTATAACTTATGAACAGTTTGTCCAAAAATCATAAAGTGGTATTATTAGATTCAGGGCGTCATCGACTGCTATTGTTTTCATATTGACCATTTTAGGTGTCGGCCATTATGAATTGTGTACCAAAATGCTGTATTTTCCGAACGCCTAAATGTATCGTTACGAAACTCGGTATGGGTCATCAGTACGATGCCCTAAAGGAACCTGATAAGTTTCGAACCAGTTCCACCTAGTGGTAAAATTAAATTTTAAATGCTTATAACTCTGGGTGTGGTTGACTGATTTTCACGGGAGTCATCTCCTTTGGTTCCTGAATCCTTGCCGAGTTCAACGATACCAAACATGCTAGGTTTTGGTTTACGGTGATTTAGCGCTTAAAAACATTTGCCAATATCTTCAAAACTGTTTGAGACGAAACTACCATAAGAAGTTTGGAAACTTAAATCGATGGCGATATGCTTATGCCCAAATATCAAAATATGAATAGTAAGGGGCATAAAAATACAAACAAAATCTGGTGAGGGTTTTTATTTATTTAAACATTTAAATGTCTACGTATAACTCCAAAACTAAATGAGATATTTTCACCAAATTTGACACACACATCTATGGGCTCAACCTGAGGACACATGCAAAAAAAATAGTGGGATTGTGCTATTTGTTGGCGCTATAATAGAACAAAACGTGAAATTGCTATTGACTTCAATGCAGTTTTGCTTTTTTTTGTTTTCTTTAACAACATGCCCTGAAGGTACTTAAAAGATTTCGAGACAGCGCCACCTTTTGGTTAAAAAAAATTATAATTAAATTTACAAAAATGCTAATAACTTTTGAATGAATTTGCCTATTGCAATGACACTGGTCTTAATAGATTCCTTGGGTTATGCCGAAAACATAGATACCAATAGTCATAGATCCCATAGTCAGCCAAACTTCCTGTCCGCTTTCTTGATTTTCATTCAATACCTACTTTTTCGAACTCCTCCTAGACCATTTGTCCAATTTTCACCAAAATTGAATCGTATCTCCAGACTTGTTGGTCTGACACTCCCAGCCATGTTGGCATGTCTTGTCTTTTGCGCTTGGCTCTGCTAATGGCTTCTTGCAGCTATATTTATTATTATTATTATTATATCTTGTGTTATGCATCTTTTTACAGAAAGTTGAAAAGGAGGATTGTGTGGTTTATGCACCAATCGCAACGAGATTATGATGATCAAACTTCAGTCTTTTTCCGAGTGCCACACCCAGATTGTGAGATCATTTCACTAAGAACCTCCCGAACAACCTCAGACTCTGAGTCAACGGTTGAGTTTTGGGATTGTGAGAATCACCGTATGTTTCATCAGGAAATCACAGCAGACACGCAGCAGGATCATCCCGAAGGGGTTTAAAGTGTGATATTAACAATGGATTTATTAAATGCTCTCCTAAAAACCTCAAAAGAATTTTCCTTAACTATTATACAGGGACTTTAAATAAATCATATAAATCCTTTGGCCCATTGGAGCAGTTTTATGTGTTACTCTTAAAGTCAGAAGTGTAAAACGTAGATGCAAAATATTCGTCAAAAGGAGTCAAAGTAAACCCTGGATGTGGTCTCTTTTTTTAGACATCTGCACAGATATGTGGTTTGATCTGTTGGGTAGACAAACAGCTTCTGCATGGGCATGTTTGATGGCAGTTTGTGAGTGCGTCTCTGAGGTGTGAATTGCGTGTTTGTGTGGATGCATGTCTGAGGTGTCAGTCGGAGTGAATAGCGTTTGTGTGAAAAGCATGTCGTCGCAGGTGTTTTTTCCATTCCTGCTCACATGAAGCCGTTAACTTCTGCTCAACAGAGAATGATGTCTGACAAAAAGGTCTCAAATCAAATAAAAATACAGTATCACATACTTTGTGTCTTATATGCACTGATCCTGCAGTTAAGATCCTCTTAACTGATCCTCTTGCTAGAGTCGGAAATAACAACTGAAACTAAACTCTCAGGAAACAAAAGTACTAAATGTTCACTGGGGTGGTATGCTTTAAAAAGGTAACATATAACCCCAATTATAAAATTGAAAAGGAATAGTTCACTTAAAAATGAAAAATATGTCATAATTTACTCTCCCTCAAGTTGTTTCAAACCTGCATTAATTTCCTTTTTCTGCTGAACACAAAAGAAGATATTTTGAATTTGGTTTTAGTAGTTATTTCTAGATCTGGCAACAGTTCTCTCTTAGCAGAACTATTCTTGATCACTTTATTTCCCTTAGATGTCATATCCTCTTTTTTATTTTGTTTTTTGCCAGTGTCTGGGTCATTTTAAGAATAAATGCAATGCATGACTTACAATGCACTATGTATGATGATGGTTAATTTTATTGATTGTGTTTTCATCAGTTGTGAGTGACATTAACCTAATGCTGCTAACGATTTTTTTTTCAGTAGGCCTATAACATAAAAGTGATCCTGTCCATAGGTAAAATATAAAGGTCGAAATTTAAAGAATGAGATCAAGAACATAATCAGATAGAAAATCTCACCTAAAGTTTCCTTGATAGTGGTAAATACAGCTTATGATATCCACTCCAGTTGTGTAACCAGCACCTGCAGATGAGGAATCAGGGAACAAAACACCAGTGTGTTAATCCTATTAAAAATACGTGTTTTTTTATCTTTTAGAAATATATATATATTGTTTGTTTACTAGTGAAAGTGCCCACATCTCTGTGTTATTCTCAGTCTGTGATCTTCATGTTTGATGTCTCGGTTCCCTCCTTCAATGTATCTGAGGGTCTGATTCCTCATCTTCATTCAGGTGAAAATATAGCACTTCTCCACAACAACACATTATTTTAGGACTCGTTCTTGTCTGGAACACATGACTGAAACTGTTTGTAATGATCCCGCTCAAAGAAATAGCTAATAATAACTTCACGTGACCATCGCGGCATCCATGGAAATATAGCCTGCATAGAAACATTAATTTTAATCACATAAAGAGATAACACGATATAAGTTCTTACTTTGGGTTGTTGACAATTAATAACTTCATAGCTGCTGCCAAACGTAACGTAAGACATAGATTTCTTTCCTAACGTAAACAATATCATTATTGATACTTTATATGCATTATTTTTAACTGTCTATGGTTTAGTCAAGTCTACCACTTACCAGCCAATCAAAAAAAGAACTTGGCTTCACAATAGCCAATCAGAAAATAGCACTATTGTATCTGGGTAAGATTTAACGCAACAACCAATAAAAAAAAGTATATCTGCTTGATATTGAAATCAAGAATTGTATATAAATCGTGGCAACAAAATCTCATACATTCACAGAAAAACACCTTACTTCCATGGTGAACAATGAAGTAAATATATTGTCTGATATTTTATTAATAGGCCCACATAAAGTCTGTAATACAAGCATGTATACTGCGTTAGACCACCATCTAGTGTCCAAACTAGGAATTCACTATTCAAAGAATGTTCATTACATGCTTTTAATGCCATTTATCGCATAAACACACACACACACACACACACACATCTTTCAAGCTATGGAGTGGTTTAGCAAATTACAGAATTTTAGCTCTGACGTTTACAAAACATTTACATGACATTTTTTTTGTTTTTTTTTAAGAAAGTAGAAGAGTAGGATAACGTAGATTATGTGCCGGTCGGCATGACAGGAATAAATAAATTTAAATCTTAAAAAGTAGCAGATCCAATTTTTTAAAAAGAAATAAAATAAAAAATGTTTTAGATGTACATTACATTAAAGCGAGGGGTAATTTATTTCATGATCTACTTTTTAGTGATTATTATTTTGTGACAAATATTGATATTGTATGGATAAATTTAGCCTTCTGACTCTTAAAGCCTCCAAACTAATTCAGACATTTACATTTATTTACATGTGGCTTGATCTGTTGGTGGGTAAACAGGTTCTGCATGAGTGTGTGGTAGTCTTTCATGGAATTCAATTTTACTTTTGCTTTAAACAAAAAAAATGTAAATACTGAAAAACATTCTGAAATTCATCAGTGACTACTTCTGATAAAAGCATACAGTGCTGCTGCTCAAAGGAAAAACACTAGTTGCAGATTTTTGACATATTTTGCAATAAGAATCTGTCCAGAGATAGATGGCCTTAGCTTAAATTTAGTAATATTTTACAGAGTTGGCATTGTTATAATCGGTCATAACTTTTTCCATGATAACATGACACACGTAAATAGAAAGAAAAAATAAATTCATACAGGTTTGAAACAACTTGAGGGCGAGTAAATTAAGACGACACTATAGTACACTACTTTATAATGAAACCTGCAACATTAATGATAGCATTATAAATGAATCTAACATCTAGAAGGATTGAGTTATATATTCACACAGAATATATCAAGCAAGTAATGTGATATATTTGCTTAATCAAGCAACTCTAATTTGGGTTTTTAATTGACTCCATTACTTGTTATTATGCATTAATTGTGAAAAACCATAAAGCAAATGACACTGCTATTCATTTTCTCCAATTATTGTTTCTACTATACGATAATTTGCGGTGGAATCTTCTTTAAAAAGTGTAAGATATTTTTCAGATATATTTTAGTGTTAAAATTATTTATAACTCCATGATTTACTGTATTTTTTTCTGATAACCCACAGAAATATTTTAAAGACACACAGATTCCAGTCTTTATGAATGAATCATGCTTTTAATATTTATCATTAACATTCAAAGATTTTTTCAAGTACATTGTTTCAGTAAAGAAAAAAGAGTTTACGCGGGATTATCCTCAAGACACTTTTCCCTTGAATGATGTAAGCATATGAAAAATAGAAAGGAAATATTCAGTGCAATATTCAAACAATATGTCTTACAACACAGCTTATTAAATACCCTTAAGCCAAAAAAATAAAAAATAAAAATAAAACTAAAAACACAAAAAAAGCTAAACGGACCAAACTGAGTATTAAAGAGAAAACTATCATCTCTATAAATCAGTGACAATATTCTAACATGGGTACCAGCAAAATACCAAAACAATCAAACTCACCAATCACAGCTGAACATACATCATTAATAAAACTTAAAGAGACTAAAAAAAACTAAAAACTATCCTCATGCCAACAGATAAAATGAAAGAATGAATCTCATGAAATGTTACTGATGTTTGTTCTCCACTTCATGTTACTCATTTTGCACATTTCAATGTTGAAGATGTATATGAAGACTCACAAAACAAATAAAGCATTGTTTTATCAAGTACCAGTAAACACACATTTGTGTTCATTTTGCAGAAACATTCCTCTATCAAATATATTTCAAGTTTAAGAGTACCAACGTTTCACATACGAGTCCAGTTACAGGCACTGAACCAACTTTAAAATAAAACAGTGCTATACCAAGCTTAAGGTTTAAGCAGGGTTTGGATCCAGTGCAGAAACATGTCACAAAATATCTGATATGTCAAACTAGAGCAGCATTAAAGTGCAAATGACAAGAAGCAGAGATACTGTCTCTCTCTGTGTGTCTGTATCAGTACATCAGCTTTAATAAACCAGAGAAACATCAGATCTACTGCTGGAAACTGTTGCTCTGTTTCTTACATCATAGTTCAATATTATATTTCTATTATGCAATATTATATTATTTTAAAGGTGCCGACCACTGAAACCCCGACACCGTTTCAGCGGATCGTCTCTCCATCGTTTCCTAATTCTCCTTAGCAAATACATTAGAAATGTAGTTACACTGTCGATTTTTTTGTCTCTTCCTGTGTCATAAGTTTGTTCTGTTCTTCTGTAATTGTTATCTCCTGTAAGAAAACACAGATTCACAATGTGAATTCAGAGTGAAAATCTGTATTGACTATGACAATAACATTGCAGTTGTAGGCATATACTAGCCTTGCTAACGTCAGATCACGTCTCATTGACCACATGTTAATTTTCTCGTATTTGAGGCGTGGTTTAAGAATGCCCAGAGCCGTTTATTGGGCGCTACGAATGTCTATCAAATGTGCCTGTACGTGGGTCAATCGGGTCAATGATATCAGATGACGTATGTAGAGCGACGCAAAGTAGACGATGGGTCCGAGATTTATTTGCGTTCTAAACTACTTAGTACAATATCTTAAGTCTGCATCGAAAGGTAACTCCGCGTCTGCTGCCATGTTTGATCTATAGGTATAAACAAACTGCTTCAGTGTGTCGCATAGACGTCATCATCGTCTTGCTGCTCCTTCCCCGTTCTGTGATTGATCCACTCGCTGAGGCAAAAATTTGGTCCATGGTGTCCTGGAGCGTGAATAAAATCGCGCGGCAAAAAGGCATTATGGGGAAACCCAGGCTAGGCATACACCCAAAACAACAGCAATCGCAACATGGCGGTGTTTGCGATAGAGGCAGAGCTGCGTCCCAATTCGCATACTATCCGTCCTAAATAGTATTCG